GCCAGTTGTTCTCATTAATATTTGATAATTGATGAGTTCACCATCGCTTTTGACCAAAGGTTAAATAGGTTAATGACTGCCTTCTTCTGCCTTCTCTGGCCTTCCATCAGCCCTATCCATGTTAAATTCTCTGAATGTTCTTACTTCATTATATATTCAAAACAAAAATTCAACTATATTATTTCTCTGTAGTTTCTAAAATCCTTAAAACTTCCTCATTTATCATATGCGCTGTCTATTGTATTCTCAACAGCAGTTAGGCTTCGGCCATATCATGTTGAAACACTAGATTTGTATACGATCAGTGAACCAACATCTATCCTAGTCGGTACCTAGATGAGGGACTGCTTGCAAATATCAGATTTTGTAAAGTTGGATCTGCGGGTGGTGTAATTGATAATGGCTTGGAATTGTTAATCGAAGAGTCGAGGTTGATTTCTTGTTGGATTCATCAATTTCACTTACACGCAAATACCCTTGGGAAAGGTATGAATCCAACTTGTCTCCCCCTCCAGCTATGGAGACTAAAATTATATAAAAAACATCAAGATGTATTAAATAGACCATAGAGATTGGTATGCCACTAAACAAAATCAACCAACCAACCAACATCAATAGCAATCAGTTCCTTTCTTTCGAGATTATTCTCTTCGACAAATGTGTGGGTGGTGTAATGAGGACTGGCTCGAAATGAGAAATTGGAGAGCCAAGTTCGAATTCCAGTTGACTTAGTTATCTTCCTTTGCATGTAAATAGCTTTAGGAAATGTATAAATATCTCCTCCAGATATGGGTTAAATAGTAGGACTTGCTTGCAGGAAATCCTTTGTGATCTCATAAAAATATTATGATGTTAAGAGATGAGATATTATATACTAGTCCAGCATACTTTATTTGTCTGTACCATTGCTTCATTTTTGTACAAAATTTAACATCACACACACACACACACCCATATATATATATATATATATATATATTCCATAAAATCGTCATTGGCTTCAACCCCGACCTCGTGCCTTCGAAATCTCCTGCAACTCTTCTGGGCGGGCTCCTTGTTTAAGTCGGTGAAATCTGCCATAATCCTTGCCTACGGTTCATCTTTGATGTTACAAGGAGTTTTGTTGGTATCTCGCTAAAAACGCGCCCCTCACATAATAATCACGGGAAATAGCCAACCAAATGCTAGTGGTGATGTGGTCGCAGAAATTGTCTTACAGCCATGACTGTGTTCTCCTGATTGTGTGATATGGTGCAAAGTCTTCCGGCAGCCATTTTCTTGAACCAGAGCAGCACTACCTATTTAAGGTACTTGATGTAGGCATCTTTGTTGAGTCTTAGGCCTTAACCAACATATTCGGGAGTTCTTTTCTCACCAAACTGAGTTTTCCGGGCTGCCTTGCATTCGTAATCACCACTAGAATAATCAAACTCTTTCTGAATCATTTGCAGTCATTGATTGACACTGTTTGACACCCAAACACTCTGAAATGTTCGTATTGGAGCTTCCGGCACGAATGCCAAGCAGTATAACATGCTATTTCCAAAATTCTGGCAGAGTGAATTGCGTCATGGTGCATTTTTTTTTTCGCAGATGGTGCCTAACCAAACTTACTACAGTGCACAGTCGAAAAAGATCAAAAGTAAACAACGCGCATGCGCGAAATTTAAAATATAATATGGCGACAATTTACCCATCGCACCTTTTTATGTGTGTGTGTGTATTTTATTAATTAGTATTTGTTTTACGTTGGTAGAAATCTTATTGCTGAGCGGCTTGTGTTTTTTTTTTTTTTTTTTTTTTTCATATAAATGCGATTGCATTATCATCAGCGTGGTGATTGGTTACGGTACTGTATAGTGTCCTGGTGTGTCCGATGACCGAAATTTGTGCTTACGTCATATATAATGCAATTTCGCAGTGACCAGAAGAATTTACTGATGTTACGTTTGAGTGGCTGGGGAGCCCTTGAAGATTGACCGTCTGTGAAAAACAATATGTATACATAACCCCAGATTTTAAAAACGACTAGAATTACAGCTGAAAGCTATCGATGACCAACGCTCGAACAATGTCTATAATCGTTCGACCCAAGCACATGTTTGTAAACAAGTCAGCAAAAACAAGTAATACCGGAATGTCGATTGTGATGTAATTTTCTTAAGCATAAAAACGTGACATTTTCAACGAAAATCAAACGCAAAAGATGTGGGAGTTCGTATTGTACACACGTACACGTTTTCAGACATTTTTACGCAGATTAAAAAACGGCTTAATTGAAATAATTAGATTGAAAATATACTCAGTACAATACATAATAAAACACAAAGTAGGCAAGTGCGGAAAACAATTGTTTAAAAAACGTATTTGATATGTCAGCTATATTTGCTTCTTTTTTATTCTTAGTGAAAGACATGAAATTACGATAGATTAACATCTTAAATGTATTACCAGGTATGTATTAAATGTATATATATATATATATATATATATATATATATATATATATATATATATATATATATATATTCATGAATCATTCATACAAAAAACAAATATAGAGGTTAATGATTTAAATGCGAGAATACATCTTCGCAAACAATATAAATAAGATACACCAACCCCCGAACCTGTATATGAATGATATGATCCCTGTTTATAAATTCCCGTTGCATAAGGATTTTTTAATTTTTTACAAGCTTTCGTCTGTTCTTACAGACATCCTCAGGTATGGAAATAGATTTGTTCTTGTTTTTACTTCTTGGTAATAAATGTCGTTCTGTGCTTGATTTCTTTCAAATTAAGACAGATGTTAGATAAGAATAGGCTTGTATGATTTGTTTAGACTTCAATAAAATGAATATTTCCACTTACTTGACCATTCTCCAAAAAGTGGCAGATTTCTGTCTACATACAAATAACCATTGTCGCCAACATTATAAGTCCCATGTTTGCTAGACATGTCTCCGACCGCACATCGGGCCTGGTTATGGATTTCACATTCAGCGTAACCATTCTGTAAATAAAAAATAGTTTTACTTTGACTTAAGTAGCAACAATTCCTGAAGATTCAAATTTTGCGGACTTTTATTTTTATTTTTTATTAATTTATTTTTTTGGGGTAAAAATTTTCAGCTACTCCAGCAGCCTTCATCAGTTCTTTATATTGATCTAATATCAAGCAGTGACAAAAGCCGCCTTTACCAGGTATTGAACTCACAACTCATTTGGGTCCTGTCACTGGATCTAACCAACACCTTTATCCACTGTGCCATAAGGATTAAGATTAAGGCCGTGGAGGATCAGGGAAAGGTGAATTAACAGGGGATAACTGACATCCATTAGACATGGCACGTGAAACTAGAACAGTATACCCTAGCGAGCAAAATAAAGGATTCAGTTCGACATTCCAACCACCTGAAAAAGACCGGAGCGTGCAACGGCCGAAACGCTGTCATAAATGTGGTGACAAAGATGGGGGCAGTAGTCTGAATACTGTAAATAGTGTGATCAAATATCTACTTTTATGCTGCTGGATCACGCACGAAAAAGAAAAGTAAATCAAGAGATAACTAATAAAATCACTTCCTGATAAAATCAAAAGCCGATTTTCTTTAATCCTCTGCAAACCTTTAAAAAGCAATTTAAGTAAGAACACATATTCTGCAGCTATTGAGCTCATATCTTTTTGTGTCTCCAACTTTTAACACGAACTCTACTACCATGCTGACTTTTAAACTGACTTAATTATGCTCATTTTGTTCTCAGTGACTTTAATTTTTTTTCGCATGTACTACATTTTATTACCGAGATTTAAGCACGCATTATTTTCATTTAAACTGAACATGTTACAATACATACATTTATTGCATTGGATGTCTGGTAACAACAATAGTTTAACTGTGATATATATTCTATACTTTTTCTTCAATTGTCTTCTTCGGCTCTCAGTACTTCTATATTTTTTAAGCAATTGACCCCAAGCAAGGAAGGAGTGCCACTAGCACGCAATGGGTTACAGAGGATTGAGAACAAGAGTAAAAAGGCGTGTTTGTGGAAAAGATACAGAGAAGGACGGGGAAACAGATCAAGGTATCGGAAGATATCGATTGACATTATATACGCTAGAAATATTTCCTACTATGATTGATCCCCGACCCACACAAACTACCATTGAGATTGCGGGGACATTATCATTAATAAATAAAAGTATCAAATAATAATAATAAATATCATAAATAAAATAAAACTAAACAAATAACATTAAAATTTTGTTTCATATAAAATAAATAATACCAAAATAATAAAAGTTCTCCCAGCATGCAACTGAAACTTTTCATGTCTAAAAACAAACTTCGAGCCCCAAAACGCCGAAATTCTCTATGGGAACCCGGAGTGTCAAGACGCCCATCTCCTCTCCTCTGCACATTGATTTTCATGAGATCAAGTGACTTTTTCTTTATCATATGTGACCTTAAAACTCCACATACATCGTACGCAAAAATTAAAAAAAAAACAATTATATGAATTTAATTTACAACATAACATGCTTTTAGTGTTATTTCCTTTTATGTTTTTATTCCTGTAAACACGAGGCTATCCCTGCTGGTATGATTTGAGTGATCCCTCAAAATCCACCAATTATATGCTACTAAGTTATAACTGAAATTACAATCAATAATTTGTGAGATTCTTGCTGGCCATTACTCTACAATAAACTACCTTTTGCAATAGTTGTGTTATGGGGCGTGTTCTTTAACGCATATATCTTTTGTATTTTTAATGATTCAAGAAAACATCGAAACTCCAATTGTGAATCAACAAGTATATATTGAAATAACATACACGAACGAAATATACAATAATTTGTATTCAATGTATAGATTAAGGGAAAAGAAGTTGCTTCCCTTTTACCGTATTTTGATTTGTATTTGATTGTTCGAAAGAAAGTTCTCGTGAAAGAAAAATGTTCAGGAATCAATATTAGAACAAAGGCCTGTGTTATCTATTCTAAAAAGAATAGATAACACAAGAATACAATTGATCAGAAAGTATGTTGTTTTAGAGAAATTTTAGTGTCCTGGTTGAACTTGGCTGAGTCAGAGAGAGATATGTATATATGTATTACAAAATCATGTGTCTGTGTGTGCGTTTGAAATGTTGTGAGTAAAGTCATAGCTTTGTGTTGACAGGCGAAATTTGCTGGACTCTACTGGCAGCTTGTGAAAAAGTCGCCTCTTTTTAAAGCTACAGATAGGCTCCGAGCGAAACCGCGGGAAAAGTTGATTTTGCACTAAAATATGTGATTTGTTAAAATTTGACCAATCGCTAAATTTGTACTAACGAAACAAGTAAACAAGTTCAAAACCGAAAAATTCAGTGCAACGACTGCGATGGCTAAATTGTCCTATAGAAAGGCAATATTGATTTATTAGCCAATCGCAAACGAATAAAATGTGGGCGTGAAAAAACATAGCAGTCGCTACAGTTGCTGTAAGATCGACAGCCTTCAATAAAGCAGCAAATTAAGCCACATTTGAAAGTCAGGTTTTATAAATAGTTTGATTGACTTTCTACGCAGCTTAATTTTAAAAGAAACACCCAAAGTCACATGGAATGAAATTCATAATTTAGAAATACTGGATGATCATAAGTGTTTCATCTCGCCAAAATAATGCACTATTCCTATTACGATAGTTCAGTAATTCTGTAAATATAAAACGGGTCCCTCTCTGTCTCTAACCGACCGGGCAAATCACCCATGTTGGCTCTCCATTCTCGTTTGCGTCGGGATGCGTAAACACTGCGAATGGAAACACAAAGAGAAAACAACTCCACGGTGAAAAATGAAAAAAATGCCAATCCTGTTTTCCTTATATTTAGTTGTTTATGCAGAGATTTACTTACGGTGTGTAGGTGACACCTAGGACAAGTAGTGACACGGCTGAATAACAGAGTAATTCTTCACTTAAACCAGCAAGGATTCTCTCTCTTACCACTCCCTCTGACAGCCTCTATCTCAGTACGTGCGATTCGTGAATTACTCTAACAGCTGGACTGGAACTCTCTCTGACGGAGAACCTGTATCTCATCAACTATCGGAACTACCTTCAGTTCTAACTCTGACTGTTAGCATAAGCCTGCGAGGGAAAATTTCTAAGTTCCGGCCAACTGGCACATGTCCCCGAATGTTTTTATTTACTTGTCTATTTCTCATAGTACACGCCAATATAAGATCTAAGAGCCACAAAGGTAGATGGTTATTTAATTAAGTTGTTGTAAGAGCGTAAAAGGAGGAAGTAAGGAGTGAATATTGCGAATATATGTTAGATTGATAACGTTGGACCCGACAATTGAAATAGTAAAGATTGTAGTGGCCAGGGAAGTCTCCTCTTGGGCGACTGCTCCACAACGTAAAAGGTCTGTGGAACAACCTGTAAGAGTGGGACTTCATCCTTACCAGTGGAATACGGAGTGAATGGGGAGGAGTTGACCTTGTGTACGTGGCATACCTTTTGGTCAGTGGGTGACAGCTTTGAAGATCTTCTTTCACAGATATGTTTGTTGTCATAAAAACAGCAAGTATTTCTGATTCAGATAAAATTATTTAAAGTCCACTTATACTGTGCCATAATTTGCTATGCCCCTCGCAAGCGCACGCGCGTGCGCGAGTGCGCGTGCGCGAGTGCGCGTGCGCGAGTGCGCGTGTGCGAGTGCGCGTGCGCATGCTTGCTAACTATTGAAAAATAACGTACGTTAGTATTGACATCGAAGGGATTGTACACCTCTCCGACTCTGCTGCATGCTCTCTGGACGCCTTCTTCCATGCTGACCCTCCTCTCTTCTTCGACATGTTCCTTGTGTTCTCCTTCATCAGAAACATTTCCGTTGTTTGAGTCAGGTGCACGGTCAGCAAACTGTTCTTCCCACACGGGATCACGATGAATGCGCCAGTCATGATTCCTGCTCTGAAATACAAAAATGACATTTTGTAATCTTAGCGCCATCTGACAAAAGACCATAATAGTGAGCGATGTGTAGACCCAACAAAGAAACATTTGTCTGTAATAATAGCCAACGATCTATAGCAAACAGCTTTTTATGATAGTTGCTGTAGGAATGCCAGTGTGGGGTTAAGTAGAGAATGAAGCTACATTTGAAAAACAGGTTCTATTAAATACTGAATTGACTTTTTACTTATTAGTAACCCAAATTAACTCAGCAGATTATTTTAAAGAACCTCCATTCACCAAAATGTTACATGGAGGGAAATACATGATTTTGAAATGCAGGAAGTATTCCATCTCGCAATCCTAATTTACTATTTATATTACAACAGTTCAGTTATTCTATAAGCATACAACTGGTCTCTCTCGAAGTCTCTCAACGACCAATCAAATCACTCCACGTTGTGTCGCTATTCTCATTTGTGTCGGTCGGCATCAAAACTGGAAAAAGAAGCGCAATTTCGTTATTTTGATTCCTCCCTCTGAAAGAAAAATTAAAAAATGTATCAGAATATAGTAACTTTAGTCTTTGGAACTATTATTCTATAAACCGAAATATTTTTTGTCTTAAAAAAAAATTACAAAGGGGTGATAAGCCGTAAAGACGCAAATCAAATAATCAGTTATTGGCTGATTAATATTTGTGGCTTATGCCAGTTTAGGCTAAGATTAGTTGCCGTCTGGAACCTTGTTATTCTCAGCATCCTTCTGAAGAAGTACGGACCTCAGTTGGCTCAATTCTCGTATTGATCAGTGAGGAAATGATCCAGCATTTATTGCCCTGTAGCAGGACTGACGTTACTAAGTGCCATAGAATTGAGGCCTGTCGCCGCGATAAACTTTCATCAGTAAAAAAAATTCATTGAGGGCATCTACTGTAGGGGGGGATAAGTTTGCTTCTCCGATCAATTCGCCAGAGTCGTGAGTGTGCTCCTTACTGGATTCTCCATTCTTGTGGACTTATGCCAAATTAAACGAAGCTCAGTAAATAGCCAGGCACATCAGCATGATGCAGTGTTTAGTAAGCTGATTATATCAATCAGTTAGTGGGTGTGATATTCATTGTGTAGCTAAGTTTATAGACGTGAGTAAATATCTTTCAGAAAATACGATGAACAAAGCAGTTTCTTCCTATCTAGGTATTTACTAAATCAGGTACAAGGTCATATTTGTGAGGAACCTAGTGAGGGTCTTAGTTATTCCATTAGTGATGGTCTGTGCGACTACCTTTTTAATCACAATTCCACGGCTATATATATAAAGTTAGATTAATCTAATACACAGTAGAGTAAAAAAAAAAAGGGAGACAAATGTTCAGTTTGCACTAAACTTAAAAAAATGTAGACAGAGGTCCGGTTTACACCAAGGGCAAAATGTAGCCATAGGCCCTGCTTACATTAGAGTGAAAAAGAGTGGCCGTGGTCTGGTTTGGTCTGCACTAGACATAAAAACGTAGACATAAGTTCGGTTTATACTAAGCTCAAAAAAGGTAAACAGAGGTCTGGTTTGAACTGGAAAAAAAACTGGTCTAGTTTAGACAAAGGTCAGTAAGGTAGACAGAGGCCCGGTTTGCACTATACTGAAAAAACGGAGATATATGTCCGGTTTACACTAAGATCAAAATGTAGACATAGGTCCGTTTTACACAAGAGTAAAAAAAAGGTAGACAGAGGTCTGGCATGCACTAGACAAATAAACCTATACATAAGTTCGGTTTATACTAAGGTCAAAAAGTTAGATGTCCGTTTGATACTAGACATAAAACAACGTAAACGTAGATCCGGTTTACACTAAGTTCAAAAGTTAGACAGAAGTCAGTTTTTCACTAGACTTAAAACAGTGTATACATAGATCTAGTTTACACTAAGGTCAAAAAGTTAGACAGCGATCCATTTTGCATTAGACTTAAAACAGCGTATACATAGGTCAGGTTTACGCTAATGTCAAAAAGTTAGACAGAGGTCCGTTTTGCACTAGACTTAAAACAATGCAAACATAGGTTCGTTTTACACTAAGGGCAAAATATAGACATATGCCCGGTTTTCATTAGGGTGGAAAAAAAATTGACAGACGGTCCTGAATGCCCTAGACTAAAAAACTAGTCATGTCCGATTTGCGTTAAAAGCGTAGACATCGCTCCAGATTACACATGAATAAAAAGAAGTAGACATAGTTTCAGTTTACACTAGGGTGAAAAAGTTCAAAATTTACAAGTATCAACTTAGAGGGGTATCCCGTTTTATTGGGAGTCTACCTCTCTGTAGAGAGGTAGGGGTATTTTAAGTCCTGCCGAAACGTGCAAACCACAAGCAGTGGACACTCCATAAGGATTGCATCGTATACAGTAGCCATGGTCTTTAAAACTAACTTGTTAACCACTGCACTAAAGCGAGGTAGCTTCCTCACTTTGTATTGCTACTAAAGAAAATAAAAGTAAATTTCCATGCATGTCTAAAAATAAATTTATTTTAGTACACACACTATAGAAAAACACTGATGGAAAGTACTTATTATTACAATAAATGAAGACCAATATCCATTATAAATTAGCAGTTTACTCAGTGAATGCGTAAATGATGTATTCTCTTTTATATTTCAACAATAAAATACGTACGCTTTGACGTTTGGAATTTTGTGTTCATGTCAGTTGTTGTTTACGACAATATAGCATATATATTTACCATATATGTTAATCGTACGCCTTTCAAATGAATAACTGAATGACGTTCTGAAAGTGACGCTTGAGAGAACAAATTACTTGTAGTTTTCTCATAATAGTCACAATTTAATAATTAATGTATCTAGCGTATAAAGATTTCAGAGACATGTCAAAAAGCCACATTAAAAGGTCAATATATGACCGAACGAATTTGTCCACGAAACTCTGAAGTTGAGGTGCTGAATATAACATCTATCAGTTAAGTGACAAATTTTATATTTGTAGCAATCCTATATATATATATATATATATATATATATATATATATATATATATATATATATATATATATATATATTGATATGTCCCGGAAAGTGATATATTTGATTGAAATAGCTAATGGTTTTGGCTGCTATAAGCAAGTAGAATACAGTAGCAGTAATCGATTGGTACTCGTCGTAGTCGCAGGTAATAGGTGTAGACCAATAGAATAGCCAATGCCGTAGTCCAATGGGCGTCGTCATAGGCTTAAACTCTGTCGTACCTACACGTCCGTCTATATTTATGACGGACACCAGCCAATCATATTCCAGTGAGGGGAAAACACAGGTGTATGTATATTATATATATATATATATATATATATATATATATATATATATATATATATATATATATATATAAGGGGAAGGCACTGGGAATTCCCAGATAAAATAAGACTTAAAATTTACTGATGTAGAAGAAAACAAATTACAGGTTATAAAAACAAAATTTTCGACCCATCCCTATTTTTTATTAGTTGTCTTTTCACCTATAAAATGTAATTAATGATGTTTCCTAAAATGTATGAATTTTCTCTCTATTAAACACATGTCTTTTTCTATATATATTTCCACTAAGAATATTTAAAGCTATATACACAAAATATAAACTTATACATTCATATATAAAAACTTTCTTGTAAAAATGTAGATAAAATGGAATTTTACTTTTTATTATAATTACTGGAAATTAATACTTATTACCACTATGCAGGTTTCATTATAATGTCCACTGTCCCTACTCTCACTCCTCTCTCTTTCCCTCTCTCTTTATATATATATATATACATATATATATATATATATGGAGAGAGATAGATTCTAGTATATTTCATTGTTAATCTGGACATATGTCTATTTATTTTTATTGTGATCCTATCCAATTGTTTAATTCTTAATGTTGACTTTAAATTTATTTTAAAAATTGCTGTAGTTAGGGCCAGTTGGGTATCGTCTGTGAGAAAATGACCACCATGACCCAATTCACACCGCCAGAAATGTGGAAACGGCATGCTGTACTGCTTGGCATTCGCGCCAGAACCTCCAATACGAACATTTCAGTGTGTTTAGGTGTCACTCTGAGGACAGTGCAGAAGATTCGGAAAGGCTGAGTCTAATGGGGATTATGAATGCACGTCTGCTCGGAAAACTCACTTCTGATGAGAAAAAAACTCCCGAATTTGTTGGTGAGGGTCTAAGACTAAACATGGATGCCTGCATCAAGTGCCCTAAGGTGGTAGTGTTGTCTTAGGTCAACAAGATGACTGCTGGAAGATCCTATATCTGGCAACAGGACTCTTCTCCATACCACACAAACAGGAGAACCCAGTCATGGGTGTCAGACAATGGCTGCACCATCATCCCTTACATCTGGCCAGCTAACTCACCAGACTGCAAACCTTTTGATTATTATGCGTGGGGCGCAGTTGATTGAGAGACCAACAAAACTCCTTGTAACATCAAAGATGAACTGAAGGCAAGGATCATGGCAGCATTCACCAACTTAAATAAGGAAACAGCCGAGAAGAGTTTTAGGAGATTCCAAAGACGTCTGGAAGCCGTGGCTGAAGCCAATGGCGATTTTATTGAATAAATTTACTCTTCACTACTTTAAGATATTTTTGTGTAATTTTGGTAAATACATCTGTTAAAATGATATAACAGTGTTATTTCTATTATTGCATAATTTAGACGATAATTTATTCGTCTCACTCTGTGTGTGCATATATATATATATATATATATATATATATATATATATATATATATATATATATATATATATACACAAACAGAGAATGTCTCATATCGAGAATATTTCACATTGAACATGAAGAAAAAATTAATTATTTTTAATAATATGTAGAAATCTCCACTTTTACTTGAAGACGGTCGCGAGACCAGAAACACGTGTCGTAAAATTATGTAAAACAAAGCATAATATTTTTTCTAAATAAATCCACATTACAACCAAAAAACGTTTGCGGCACCTCTCTTCTCTCTTTTTTTAATATACATACTTTTCTCTCGTTGGAACCACTACAACATATTTCTTTTATATATGTACATATATATATATATATATATATATATATATATATATATATATATATATATATATATATATATATATACTTATGTTACCAAAATACCCATGTAGTTTTTCTCTGTTAACTTATTCATTAATTTTTGGGGGTTACCCATTTCTAAACATCGTTTCTGGTATGGTTTCGGTGTAAGTATATTTTCACCTTTTCGTTCATGTCATGGGTTTCTCATTCTAAGTCATTATCTATTACACCACCGCGCATCCTACTCGTTACTATCGTTAGGATACTCTTTTGAAATTATCTGGTATTATATGATATCTGTACGTTTCATGTTACTGAATATATTTACGGACTTCTAATTGCTGAAGATTTTATTTATGTTGTTAAAAAGAGGACATCTAAAATTACTTATATATATATGATGCGCTTTTTTTTATCTGTGGCTGCATGTGTGCGTGTGTATGTGTGCGTATATGTGTTATTATTACTTTTAATGAAACTAAATACTTACCATGCGGCCTTCATTGTTACTAACATCAATGTACACCCAAGTTTCTGTGGTATGACCATCTGGGTAAACGTACTGCCACTGAAAAGTATAAAAAACATAATTTAGTCTCTTATTAAAAAAAAAACAGTTTACCAATTAATTGGTCTTTTTTAATGTCGACAAAGCGGATAAGTTTTCTGATGTTACTGTCCGAGCATATAAATTAATTATGGGTAAGTGATTAAATTAAATGTTCACTTACACCTTGCCACCCTATGACATTTTTGCCAAATATCTGGTAATAATTACAGTGTACATGAAAAACTGGGTTCATGCCTTTACTAAGGATATTAACACGAAGTGAATATAAACAACCTCAATTCGAATTCGAACCTGGCTTATCAAAACTTTATTTTCAATTCTCATAACGCTTTACGGTCATATCAAGTTGAAACATTGGTTCTCATACGATCATCGAAGTTAATAAACTTCGAGCCTTGTCATTATTTAGATGGGTTACCGCTTTGGAATATCGGGTCTTGTAAACTTGGATGTGCGGGTGGCGTCAAGTATAACGTCCCTGAATTGGAAATCGGAGATTCGAGTTCTAATACCAGACGTGTTCGTTACATTCATTTATGCCCAAATCCCCTTGGAAAAGATATGAGTGAACTACTTCTCCAGCAGCTATGGGTTAATTAGTAAGTCATATCAGTAAATCATTATTATCCCTCAAAATTCTTACAAATTAAAAATATTTTCTGGCTTTAAAACGGTTGATAAGCTGTAACATCCAAATCAATCAATCACTTATATATTCCGTTATACCCCGGTATTTGTTTGGAAATGGACTCCTAAAAGTATTACGGTCAGTCTTGTACATTTTAGGCAGCAATGTCTCGATCTTCTTTCTAGGTACATCTTTGTCTATATAAAGTTCAATTGACATGTCATGTTATTATCCTAAGAAATCGAGCAAGATCTCAATTTTGAGAATAATGCAGATTTTAAAGTAAGTGTTAAATCTTTTTAGGATCTCTCTCAGTCTGAGTTACAAAGTAACTTAGTTTTTAACTCAAAAGAGGCACTAGCGTAAATTTATAATCAGAAATCTCATTATAAAGAGAAAAAAGGGTTTGGAGAATTTAACACTCACAGGACATATTTAAGGCAAAAGAAACAGGGATACAAATTGTAACCTATTTAATGAGGAGGATAGAACTCACTGTTTAGTCGTAATTGATCTAGCGAGACAAGCTTGTTAACCATTACACCACATCAAAGTGTCCGATAGTGTTTTACTAAGCATAGCTTAGAGGTGGCTCAAGACTGAAAGTGTGGAGCACCAAGTGAGGAACGAACTCAACATTCAGCCGCAATTGATCTGGCAAGACAAGCTTACTATTACATCACGTTTAAGTGTGCAAAGATGAGCGAATGGATGGCAAAATACGAACAAAGTAAGGCAGAAAAACGTCAGAAGATATTTAGTGCAACTAAGGCGGGAAGTTGTGGAGAGCTATGAACTGAAAGGACATGGCACATAAAAAGTTTGGCTCTTGTGTATGTCACAGCATACATCCTGGCAGGAAACATTAGTGGCTTTATGCCGTGGTAAGCTCTCTCTCTCTCTCTCTCTCTCTCTCTCTCTCTCTCTCTCTCTCTCTCTGTGTGTTACTGTCATGGATGAGGTATCTGTATTCCCCACCAGCGTCATTCGTTGTGTCATGTTGTCATGGAAAAGCCACTAATTCATCTCCTACTTAAAATTTCCTCCTTTGAATATCAATTCGCTCGAAAATATCTTATTAAGATCATAAGCCGAATTTTCTAGTCAGAAAGCAAGAGACCAATGTAAATGTTGCTTTTGGAGCTGATAATTCTTTATTGTTTGGAGTCACAAAATACAATAGTAACTTTAGGCGAACGATTAAACTCATAGACGGGATTAAAAAGGCTTTTGTAACGTGTTCGTCTTGTACGAGAGCAATAACTTTATAGTAATATCCAATAGCCATATTAATAACGAAGTCATAGTGTTCAAATAGCAGTCATTAATATAACTTTGGGGTATTGGACTTGAGGCAACTGATACAACGTTACAGCGACCATTGTTCGCCAAAGACCAGTCACATATGATGTCGTAACGATGTCGCAGTAATATACACTCTGCAGTCATACGGACAGCAAATATTCTGTACCATAAATAGTTTTATTATCGAGAAAATACTGAGAACTTACCATATGAACGTATCCATGGACATAACCCCAGAAATTGACACGGGCTTCCCATCGTTCAGCTTCCGGTTGAAGGAAGCTCATGTTTCCGCAACCCTTAATTTCGCTGTAGTCATTTGAAACAGCCATAGCACGTTCCATAACACTGGAAGGACCATAAAGAGCCAAATTATAATCTCGCATTGTCTTCTTCTCGTGACCACGGTCTCCAAAATAACCAAATTTACCACTCATATCACCCATAGGGTACTGGCTGTGGGTACCCTGGCCAGGAGAAGGAAGATTTTGTATGGGTACTCTGAATGGATTCCACATATAACCAAGAGCGACTTTAGAACAGGATGAGTGACTGTTCTCCACTGCAGGGTTGAAGTAGATCGCCCAAGTGTTAACCTTCTTGTTCAGACCAAGCATGTCCAAACGAACTACAGCTGGATCGAACTGGGTCTGTTGCTCAAAAGTAACTGATCCTTGCATCGAGGTCGTTGTGTGGTACATTTGCCTCATCACGGCTTTGTAAGGCCAGTGTCGGTAAATAGTAGCACAGGCCAGGCGATTTTGTCGGATGTTGTCAAAGATAACTAGGGATCTGCCTTCAATGCTGTAGGGACCAAACAAAGGTAAAAACGTTGTTGTAATAAACGTCTTCTTAGCTGGTCTTTTCTTGAACCCAGAACGGATTTGAATCCCTCCAACACGTTTCGTAATGTCTCCTACGGCACAGTGAAAACCTCTTTCCTTGCGACACGAATCCATGTACTGTCCGTCTAAGGCGAGGTTGAAAGGGTTGTACACATTACCAGTAGAACTACATCGGTGGGCGCCGTCTTTGTCATTCCAGTCAGTAGCCGTACGTTCACCAATCTTCCATTCGTGATCCATCGTAGGACCTGTCCCGTCGCTATAGTCCAGCTCAAAATATACAGTCGTATCGGACATTGGATCCTTTGTGCTTTGCCTGAACATTGCAAAACCAAAAACTGGGTACCAAAATTTGGCCATCAAAATAACAGTATCTTCAGGATAATTAACATTAGAACAGAACCAGCGGCTGCCATCAGTTCTGTGTACAACAAATGAACGCCCAATGATACTATACTCTTCAAACAATGGAAGATTCCAGTCCCAGTAGGTTTCAGCGAAGGTGTCTCTTCCGTTAAGCGTCCCAAATTTGCCGCTCAAATCTCCAACTTCATACTGATCGTTGGTACCTGTTCCAGGTGCTGGTGAGGAATTAAGCGGTATGTCAAACGGGTTCCAGTGTCCAGAAAGTTCAGAGTTAGAACATTCGACTTCGTTGGCAGTGATGCGCTGAGAAACCGGATATTTGTGTACGTGGTAACCGGAAGCCTGATCACGTAGGTTCTCAAAGTTGACATACAGAACTGTCGGGTCGTAAGGAGAGTCTTGTTCGAAGCGGATTGACCCCCAGGATCCATCTCCCTCGAAGTAAACGTGCGCAGTTTTGTGGCGGTACTCCTGAATGAAACTGCAGGCGATTACTTCTTCGTTTTCATCAACAATCCCCACCCACTTGCCGATTATGTTATCAGTGCCTGTGACCCATACGTTCTGCTCGACCCACGCCTCACGTTGATCGTAAGGATTTTGACCGACTGGTAACATGGGCAGTTTTTCCACCCTGCTGCGAGGCTTGTACCTGGTTTTCAGGCTGCGGCACATCTCGCTAGCATCCGTTTCGGTTGTCGGGTGGAATATATACCAATGGTAGGAGGACCGCTGCTGGGTGCCTGGTGCCATATAATATAAGTCAGAATAAATGGTCGTGTACTCTGTCTGCTCGTACTGCCTAAAGATGATTCGACCTCCGATAGAGTTCTGCAGACGAGCATAGGCTGTTACGTGACGTCCCCTGAACATGATGGTGGCGCATGCTGGCTTTTTCGAAGACTGCGTGGGATTCAAGAGTAGAGTGTAACCTGAAAAAAATAATTTAAATTTAATCGGTTTTCAAAACAACAGATTCAATGTGAAATGTGATTTTTTAAGGAAAACTCTCAAATGCTATTATTCCATGAATTATTAGAAAAAAATATCACTTTTTTATCACAATGTTTCAGCCGATAAAATTTTCGGGTTTCGAAAGATCGTTTTCGGAATCTGAACGAAAAATTGAAAGAAAACACTAAAAACGGTTTCCAAAAGAAATCTTAGTGTTCATTCTTCTGGTCAGATTTTAGAAAATGAATCGTCGGGCCAAGAATATTTCTACATCTCCTCATGTATTGATTATGTAACCAATTGATATTAACGCTAAAACAACTGATAATATTCTTCTAAATATAATGGGGAAAAAAGGGAATACCGCTTTGAGTCATGTTTGAAAGTATAGCGATTTTCCAAGCGTAGATGTGGCACAAGGCCGAAAGTAGGGGGGCACTCAGTGAGGATCGAACTCACTACTCAGTCGTAATTGTTCTAGCGAAACAAGCTCGCTAACCATTACACCGCCTCAAGGTGCTCCATGTTAGAAAGTATATGTTTCTTTCGTAGAATGGTCGACATTGATTTCAGTGTTTCAAGGATATCAACGCAAACATGTGTACGCAATAAAAATGATGTTATATATTTAAAAAAAATATATATATATATATATATATATATATATATATATATATATATATATATATATATATAAGGCGTTTCTGAAAATATATTGACATATGAAGGTGTCGGTTTCGATAACACAGTGGTTCAATTTTTTTAAACATCCCTTGTGCTCCTTGCATCCTTTCTGAGTAGATCAACGGGAAACTTGATTTTGATTAAGTATAGAAAGTAATTAAAACGAAATGATGATCTTTCTTTAAATAGTTTACCTAAAATCCTCAAAGTTCCAATCGATTGTTCGTGAAATCAAAATGTAGAAAGGTGAATGTTATAGTAAAATTAATTTTTGTCTGTTAAGAATAATAATACATAATAATAATAATAAATAATACATTTAAAAAATTTTGTCGGATGTGCGCATAGCATAACATTTATTCGGCGGAGAAAGTGGAATATGTGCACCGAGTTTGAATTCTGGTCGGGTTCGTTGCATTCACTTTCTCACAGATAACATTGGGAAATAATGAATCCATCTCTTTTAATATCATTTATTGTTTAAACAGCGGGACAGCTGAGCACTCTAGCTTCGGTTCGCAACCAGTCTAGGAGAGAAAAAAAATCTGAATACTAAACCGGCTGCGTATGCAACTCGCAACTCCAACACTGTAAACAACATGTTGTTCAAAAGAAAAGAAAAAAGAAAAAAAAACAGTAGCAACATTAAGTGTGGTGAGGCTTGGCCCTAATGTGATGCATTTGTGGTCCTGTCATTCACATAAGAATCTAATGGCATTGAGGAGGAAAACGTGAAGGGAAAAAAAGTAATTATTAAATATATAAAGTTGAAAATTGAAACAAAATACCAATCTTTGGGGATGGGGACAAGTTTTTGTTAAGACGATTAAGAAGCCGTTAATTGCCTGCATTCGACATAATGTTCAAGGTTATTTAGAATAAGAAGATATTTAATATCGTCATCATAAATTAAATTATGCAAAATGTTACAAATACTTTATGTGAGTTGTTTATGTAAAATAGCGATATTCCTGGTAGTATTTATATAAATGCGTAAGACAAAAACACAATGGATTTGAAGAAATATGGATATTCATCCTGCATAGGGATTATCCAAAATGTTGCTGATACTTAACGGGCATTGGACATAAGGAAGGTGGGAAAGAGGAATTAGAGAAAAACATAAACCAATAATTTCATTCACATTGAAAATAACATAAAACTAAAAGAAAAAAATGACGAATGCTTACCCCCATTTTTTTAATCATTTCCCACCAAGCAAGGTGAGCATGCCACTAGTAAACGGGGGCAGGGTTACAGGGAGTGAAAGTGAAAGAGAAAACTGAGAATAAAGAGGACTGAGGAAAGGACAAAAGATGAATGGGATTCAAGAAGACAGAAGATGGCGATTGACGTTGTATTTAAATTTTTGAAGATTCTATTTATCAGGGAAGCAAGAAAATGAAACGGAGTTCTACAGGTGAGAAGTGCGAGGAATGAAACTTTTGGAGTAGAAGTGGCGGTTTCATTTAGCTATTTCAACAGTAAAAGGGTGGGACCTAAATGCCAATCTAGTAGTACGCTTAAATTCATGTAGTCGGGGCACCAGGGCTAAAAAGGTGATCAGAATAGTTGAAAATATTCGAAAAACAGAAAGAAAATATTTGTAGAAAAGAAAGAGGAAAAGCACGTTAAGTCGGTGAGAATGTAACTGAAGTCAAAATGCCTTGTCAACATCGATTACATTACAAATCTTACTTTGGATTCTGTCAAGAGTCTCGAGATGTATAGCATGAGCAGCAAACTAGATATGGCAACAGTATTAAATGCACGCACAAATGGTAGATTTGTAAATGTGCAAGATGGATTCAGACGAGAAAGAAATTTTCCTGCATGACACAATAATCTAATTTTACTTGCTGTAGATGCAGCTATTGATTCGATGTAGTCGCTCCTGTACAGGTCAATAAAAAAGCCAAATGAAGCCAAGCAAGCGCAGTGTGTTGCCTTCCCCAGAAGTCTAAAACTTATTACCGTTGCTTGTCGCATGTCTGCAACATGTACGTAATTCTTAATAGGAATTCGTTCGTATTTTTTTTTTTACTTTTTTTTATAGGAGTAGATAGGCTTATCTATCGTCCGGTCCGTAATCATTCCATGTCTATTGAAAAGGAATAGGGGTTCATCTCTTGTTCTCTGTTCAGGGTATGGTTTATCAGTTCTCTTTCTTTCTTTTACTACAGATGCAGTGATTTAACTGTCTTAAATTTTTATTCTGTAATCCCATGTCACGCATGGGTAGGTGTCTCTGCATGTGTTTTCAGTGAGCAATCCTGAGGCCACATTATACTCTGTTCCCAGCCATGCACTGGCTAGTTTGTATTGCCATTGACGACAGATATCTCAAAACATATCTTATGAAAATCACAACAAAAAGAAAAACTAAACCAGCAAACAAAAAAGTACCTACCCACCTCGACCTTTCTTTCTTCAATATTCAGGATATCCGTTCCAACTTGAGCAATGTAGAATCTTTTCACTGGGAATTTTTACCATCCTAGATCCTTTTTAACTGGCAGTTGACATCATAACTAAGTTATAACTTAATATTAAATCCTTCGTATTTTATGAGATATTTTTTACAGATTAAGAGTAGATATATTTACCTATCGTCCGGCCCGCACTCCTTCAATCTCTATTGAAAAAGAGTAGAAGTTTATTCATTGTACACTTATCAGGATATGGTTTACAGGTTCTCTCTTTTTTCTTCCAGGGCCACTGTGATTTAACTGTCTTAACTATTTGGTGATCAGACTAACCATTGACCGTGAATTTCCATTATGAGGTTATCGGGTTGTCAGTTTGCTGGCTGCTGCTTCCTACTGTTAGTTGGGAGCCTGAACTCTTTGGTAGCGCTTAGACATTCTGATCAGATCGACAGTCGCATAATATCCGGGTCTTCTCACAAGACTACGAATGAGTCAACAGGAAGAAGCCGGCTCAATCCGCCCAGGGTGAATGCCGCATCAATACAATACAATATAATATCCGGGTATCTGTAATACCATGTCGCGCATGGGTAGATGTCTCTGCGTGTATTTCCGGTGTGCTAACCTGACGTCACATTATGCTAAGTTCTCAGCCTTGCCCTGGCTGGTTTGTATTGCCCTTAACGACAGATAGTGACAATTAAAGTGGTCTTTGTTCTCTCCCATTAAACTGAATTTCATGGGAAACACAACAAAAAGTAATACAACTAAACTACCAAAAAAAAAAAAATCCCTACTCCCCTGAACCTTACTTTCTTCAATATTCAGGATATCCGTTTCAAATTCTGCAGCGTAGAATCTTTTCTCTCGGAACGGTCACCAGATATCTTTGCCCTTTGTGATTTAATCAACTTAAATTCTTCCCTTGCTACCAATCAATTATTGGTCCCAGATTGTTTCCCTCTGTCAAAAGATTCAAGCAGTCACATGCATAGCTTTGGTGTCTACCTTCGGGATAATCTTCCAATAAACTTTGTTAGCTATCACTTTTTCTTTATCGGTCCCCTCCTCTGCAGTATATTAGTCATAACAGCTTGCAGTAGAAAAAAGGATCTCCGAATATCTTTGTCTTCGGTGACGTTTATGCTCACCATGACACTTGGCTGAAACTTTCTAATGGTACTGATGTTTCCGGTATTCAGACATTAAATTTTCCTACTGTCCAAACCCTTACTCAAATCGTGGACTTCCCTACTTGTTTCTCTAGCAAAACAGAGCAACAGGCTTCTTTACTTGATTTATTTCTCACCTCCACTCCTCGCTCTTGCCGAAATTCGCAACACTGTCCTCTAGAGAACTGGGACCACTCTGTGGCATCTATGGATATTTCGTTCCAATCATCCATTAAACAGAAGCACCATATCTATAAAACCTCTTTCTTTTACCAGCATGCTGATTTGGATTCTCTCCGTGATTTTCTTTGTGACACCCCTTGAACTGACATTTTAACCTTCCAATTGAAAATTGCACCACTGAGGTTTCTTCCTGGGTCAAAGCCGGAATGGACGTTTTCCTTCCTTGTCGGAAATACCAGGTGAAATTTTAATCTCCTCAATGGTTCACACCAGCATGCTTGGCCGCTATAGCACAAAGAAAACACTATTTTCGGCTGTACCAGCGTGACATCTCTCGTCAAAACTTGCACGTAAAAAATGTGAGAGAGTCCTCGAAAGAGTTTGGTCCCTGTTTGCACCGCAATAGCCCCCAGCAAGTTTGGCTCTCGTAATTACTAGTCTCTTTAATAGAGTATTAAATAATTCCAAGGTCTCTATTCCTTTTCTCTTAAATCGATTTGATGTATTATC